ATTCCATTTGAATAAAACAAACTCCTTGAAAGTTACAAGACATTTTGTAAGTACGTGTACTATCACAGCGCCCAGATTCATAATCTATTTGAATTGCAATTTTCAAGTACCGAGTTGGTTTAGGACTCTAAAATATTAGACAATAATGTTGATTATTCAATTTTGAATGAATTTGTCAAATATTCCATTTGAATAAAACAAACTCCTTGAAAGTTACAAGACATTTTGTAAGTACGTGTACTATCACAGCGCCCAGACTCATAATCTATTTGAATTGCAATTTTCAAGTACACCGAGTTGGTTTAAGACTCTAAAATATTAGACAATAAAATTTAATATTCAATTTTGTGCAGATTTGCCAAACAAACTATTTATATTAAACAAACATTTCAGAAGTTACAAGATATATAATAAAAAATTATGCACAAATAAATGAGTAACTAAAAAGATTTCTCATAAAAAATATGTATGGTTAATTTAGCAAATAAATAATTATTATTTTATCATTTACATACCCCAGAGTACTGTTCATGGTTTACAGCCTGACTTACTTCAAAAACTGCATAAATAAATAAAATTCGCCAAATATTATTAAACAAAAAAACCATTTTAAATCTATCTTTTAACCAATTTAAATTAATTATAAGACCATGCTATATGTTCCAACGACGTCCGGTAATGTATAAATAAATCGTATAAATGAACAAATATATTTGATTTCAAGTTTAAAAATTTAATTTAGAATAAAATGATAAAATTAAATTTTCAATATATAATTTCTGATTTGTTCGAGTTATAACAAATTGCGAAATTGAATTATTATAAGTGTGAAATTGGAATTGTTTGTATGAAAGCATACAGTGTTGTCCAAAGTGCAAATATAAAGGAAATTTATTTACAATAATTTTTTTATATAAATTTTAGCTACTCAAAAAAGCATGTTGAAAGAGTGTATGAATTATAAATAAATCAGGAAAGTTTTTATCGAAGTATCTTAAACCAATTTATTTTCTTACTGATATCTTATTGAATTTTTATTACCTATATTTGCTAGTTTCTAATTATTATATTATTATATATGAACTAAAATGATCCATTTATTTTTTATTACTGATATATTTATTAGGAGTTTGTTTATTTATTCATTATATTTATTTATTTGCAATATATTTTAAAGTGTTTTATTAATAGTAGTAGTTATCAAATTTTTTAAAGAGCTATTTGAAAAATATGTTTTTGTTTTCTCTCATAAAATTGGGTGGGCTATGTAGCCAAATATCTTTCACACATATATAAATATGCATATATATATATACATATATATATATATATATATATATGTTTGTATATAATTATATTAAAGTGAAAGATCGTCGAGACGAAGACCTTATTTGGTAACATCGTTCCACGTCGAGAACTCTTCGACCCACATACATCACGCCTTCGAGATGTAAATTTAAAACTCATATATTTTCTATCAGATTGATCTTACAATACTGAAATTTTAATATAATGTACTTAAATATGTCTACAATGATACTGCTTTTAAAAATTAGTAAAATTTTTTGTTTGTCGTGAGATATATATAAAAGTTTAAGGAAAGCGCATGAACGTCCCAGCAAAAATTGATTGAAATTATTATATGCTTAAATGTAAATTTGGAACTCGTGTATTTTCTATAAGAATGATCCAAAAATACTGAAATTTTTATATATTATACTTTAATATGTCGTTTGTTCTTCTGCTTTTAAAAATTAGTCAAATTTTTTGTTTTTCGTGAGATTTAAATAAAAGTTTGAGGAAAGCGCATGAACGTCCCAGCAAAATTTGATTGAAATTATTATATGCTTAAATGTATATTTGGAACTCATGTATATTATATAACAATGATCCAACAGTACTGAAATTTTAATATATTATACTTGAATATATCTAATATGATACTGATTTTAAAAATTAGTAATTTTCTTTATTTTTTGTGAGATATAAATAAAAGATTGAGGAAAGCGCATGAACGTGCCAGCAAAGATTGATTGAAATTATTATATGCTTAAATGTAAATTTGGAACTCATGTATTTTCTATAAAATTTAACCAACAATAGTGAAATTTTTATATATTGTATTTGAACATGTCTACTATAATGTGAATTTGCAAAATTAGTCAATTATTTTGTTTGTCGATATTTATAAATATTTTTTTGAGTAAAGTACGCAAACAGCCTAGAAATAAAATGCCTATAAGTAACAAAAAAAATATGAAAAATAATTAGAACATATCAGTTCATAATATCTATAAATTAAAATATTAGCTGTAAAAGCATTTATAAATAAAATAATAGTTTGAATTTAGTTTATAACTATAAATTTACAATCAAACATCGATGACTTGGATCAAGTGCATTTATTTATTTCAATTCTTGTAACTTTTGAACTTTATATCTTACATAAACGAAATATTTAACAAATCTGTTCAGAATTAAATTATGTATAATATTGTCTAACATCCAAAAGTCCTGCAGCAACTCGGTATACTTTAAAATCGTTCTCGAATATAGACTTGAATTTAAGAGAGCAAATTGTGAGTTGGTAATGGTAACTCATTCATCCATTTATTTATTATATCTCTTGTAAAAATAAATTGCATATTTGGAAGATTTATACAGAATTAAATTGTCTGTAATATTGTTTAATATTATTATGCCCTACAGCAACTCGGTATACTCAACAATCGATATTAAACAACAAATAATGAATGATTCTTGATGCGTCATGTCTTTGTTTATAAATGTTTTCTTTTGTTTATAAAATGCCATTATAATGAACCGATATGGAAAATGTATAAATAAAGATGTTGATAATTTTAAATATGTATTAAATTTCAAAACATATTAGCAAAATTAAACAAAAGAAATTTTTTTATCAGAAATTATAATAAATAAAGTCGTTAAGAAATATTGATTGAGATTGAGATAATTACGTATATATGATGAGTATTTTTTTAGGATTTGAATGATTTTGTGGACATGTAGTGAATATTAATAAAAAAATCATATTAGATAAATAAATATGACTTTAATATTGTGGACTTTTATTTATTACCATAGGTTAAATTATTTCAATATTTTTGTTAATACTAACAAAACACCATTTGATTCTGATTGCAAAGAAATTCTAAAATAATACAACTTTCTTGGATAAGATAATTTATTTCTCAGTGAATATGATATGATTGAAAATTTAAAATGGAATAATTTATTTATTATTATTAACAAGTTGTTCTACCCACGTGTAAAATATGTTCTTGCCATTTATTACCTGTTTTTGTAACAATGACGTAACGGTCTTGAGAAACACCTTTGCAGATGTTTTTTCGGACTTATTGTCACTTTATAAAGTCATGATTTTAAAAATATGCTTTTATGGTTAAAATTGAGAAATTAAAATTTTTCTGGAAATTTATTTTCAGAAATAAAAATTTTATTCATTAGCCAATTTATGATTGAAATTATAAGTTATTTTCTGCATTTAATTGCTATTTTTAAGTATACAGAGTTAATCTAGAATCTTATATTGTTAGAAAAAGTTGTGGATAATTCAATTTTAAACAAATTTGACATATACCTCATTTATATTAATCGAATGGTTTGAGAACTAGAAATGATTTTCAAAATAAATGCACTTTCAACTCTTTTGATATAATTTTCTTGTTTCAAATGCGATTTTGAGGTATACCTAGTTGATCTAGGACCTTATTTTATTAGTTAAACTTTTAATTTTGAATAAAAATTTGAAAAGCATAAAATTTTGAATAAATTTATCTAATACTTCATTCATATTACTCAAACAGTTTGAGTTCCGTAAACAATTTCAAAATACATGCACTTTCCAACAATTTTCATATAATTTCCTGGTTCAATTGCAATTTTAAAGTACATAAAGTTGCTGTAGGTTCTTACATTCTTAGACAAACTTTTTAATTATTTAATTTTGAGCATATTTGTTTTATATCTCATTCATTTAATAAAATTGTTTAGGATCTATAAACGATATAAACTGTTAATGCATTTTTAACGAGATCTTTATAATCCTATGGCTTCAAATGCAATTTTAAGATATACCAAAACGATTTATCATTTAATAATATATAACAAAATTAAAACGTAAGTAAATTTTGAACCAATTTGCCAAATATAATATTAACATTAGACAAACCATTTACAAAGTATAATAGAAACAAAAAATACATGTCTCAGGACTCAAAAACCTGTTGCACAATATAAAACAATTTTAATATAAAACAAAATTTTATTTTTATACAAACCAAATACTGTTATTTGTATATAGTTTAATAATGAAATGAATACGTGTAGTATGCCATTTTATATATAACTGTAAAATTTATGCAAAATACGTGAACGTACCGGTTTTGTATGGGACTTGGATTTATTTGGACAAAATTGTATTGAAATCAGTAAAAAATTAGTACATAATATTCATAAATTTATTACAAATATTATTTAGTACTTAGAATTTTGGAAAAATTGGTACAAGTAAAGTAAAAACGTATTTTTGGTTGTATGTAAGTTTGAGAAATACTGAGGAAAATATATAGGCGTACCGGTTGTAAGTGGGACACGTGTTTTTAGGTACTTATGATAATGTTTTTGCGAAACAATTTTTTTTCCAAAATCTTTGATTCATATACTACATGTTCCATGAGTGTTAGCTAATAAAAATCCATTAAATTTAATAAATTTAAATTAAATATTCAAAAATGTCTTACAATTACGGTTCATTCTTCGCCTACAGAACATGACCAACAAGTACATTCCCGTGAAAACCAACGCGTCTCTCCCCATCTCTCTCCAACATTCCCAAAACCCATATCTACATCCCTTTCCATCTTCGAAAACCATATCGGTGTCCCTTTTCCCACGTGCCAGTGACGTCACCGAAACTATAAAAGGAATCCCTGGTACCGGTTTAGTCATCAGTTCGTCCACGGAAGCCTCTTTGCTCGCTTAGTGAACGATCATTTTATTAAGTTTTAAACTTATATATTTTATTTTTTTTACGAAAAAACAAAACAAGACTAATTCAAAATGGTAAGTGAATAATATTAGATAAAAATAGTGTTAAAATTTGGGTTAGTTTGGGTGTAATTTAGGATTTGCCACGAGGTCACTGTGCCGGCCGGGGGCGCGTTTAAGTCAAATTTTGAAGGTTTAATACTAAAAATGTGATTCAAAAGTGGTTTTATTTATCTGTAAAATTTGTTCTGGTGTTATAGATATTATTTTTATTACTATTTGGGCATAATTTCTTTTTTGGGTGTGGCTGATGACCTCATTGTTCGGACGTTGACAAAGGTGTTACAAGTTTCTTGTTCAAGGTCGATTTTAAAGTATAAGGAGTTGCTTAAGAGTTTTATATTGTTAGAAAAAGTTATTTATTATTTAATTTTAAACAAGTTTGTCTTTTACATCATTTTTATCCAACAATTGGTTTAAGAGTTATAAGTGTTTTAATCAACCGTGCACGCGGTATAATTTTCTAGTTTTCGGTGCGTTTTTAAAGTATACCGATTTGCTGTATGGTTTTGGGTTATTAGAAAAATTTGTAGTCTGTTTAATTTTGTATAAATTTGCCAAAAATTTCGTTTGTATAGGCCGTCACGTTTAAAAGTTACATGTAAATTAGTGCATAAATGAGCTACGAATTCACGGTTAACGCACGTAAATACTATGTCTATTTTCAAATACGATTTTAAAGTACACCGAGTTGTTGTATGGATATGAAATGTTAAGAAACATTATAGATAGTTAAATTTTAAATAAATTTGTCGAATATTTCATTCATTTACGACGTCGCGTTTAAAAGTTACAAGAGATGCAATAAATAAATGCACTTCCGATAAATGAGGTCCGTTGAGATTCAAATGCTTTTTAAGGTGTACCGAGTTGTTCTAGGTCCTTATTTTGTTAGAAAAAGTTGTAGATAATTTAATTTTAGACAAATTTGTCTTCATCATTTATATCAGTCGAACGGTTTAAGAGTTATGGATTGTAAAAGAAATGAATATCTGTTTAACGCGTTCTTCACTCTTATCTTGTTTTAAAGAATACCGAGTTGATATAGGGTTTTACTTTGTTAGTAAAATTGGTTTATTATTTAATAATAAACAAGTTTGTCTAATATTTTGATCACTTTAGACGTCAGCTTCAAAAGTTACAAGAGATATAGTAAATATTAGGTTGTCAAATATCTCCCTTCCGCTTTTTTGCTATTGGTTTATAATACAAAAAGGCGGAAGGGAGATATTTGACAACCTAATATATGCACTTCCTAAAAGTGAATCGGTCATATTTTATGTTCCTATATTCAAACGCAATTTTAAAGTATATCGGGTTGCTGTAGGGTCTTATGTTGTTAGTAAAACTTATAGATTATTCAATTTTAAATAAATTTGTCTTTTACCTCATTCAAATCCAACGAATGGTTTAGGATCTACAAACGATTTTATTAAAGAATGTATACAAGTTACAAACGTTTTGATACTGCCCATTTGACCTATCATCAATGTAAATGTAAAAGAATTACTTGATTAGTTTATTTATTAATTTGTCCTATCATCAGTGTAAATGTGAATAAATTATTTAATTAAATTTCTTTTATCCAGCGTGAATGTATCTCAATCCACGTTGGCCAAGCCGGTGTCCAAATTGGTAACGCCTGCTGGGAGTTGTACTGTCTGGAGCATGGCATCCAGCCCGATGGCCAAATGCCATCTGACAAGACCATCGGAGGTGGTGATGACTCCTTCAACACCTTCTTCAGCGAGACTGGTGCTGGCAAACACGTGCCACGTGCTGTGTTTGTTGACTTGGAACCAACTGTCGTAGGTAAGATAATGGAAATAGATCATGTCTTGGAAATTTAAACTCTTTGACAGATCTGCTAATTTTTGAAATACCCGGGGTAAAATCTCATGTATCCTTTTCCTCTCTAGATGAAGTACGTACTGGTACCTACCGCCAATTGTTCCACCCCGAACAATTGATCACCGGTAAGGAAGATGCTGCTAACAACTATGCCCGTGGTCACTACACCATTGGAAAAGAAATCGTCGACGTTGTATTGGACAGAATCCGTAAATTAGCTGACCAATGTACCGGTCTGCAAGGTTTCCTCATCTTCCACTCCTTTGGAGGTGGTACCGGTTCAGGATTCACTTCCTTGTTGATGGAACGTTTGTCTGTGGACTACGGAAAGAAATCCAAGTTGGAATTCGCCATCTACCCAGCACCTCAAGTGTCAACAGCTGTTGTTGAACCTTACAACTCCATCCTGACAACCCACACTACTTTGGAACACTCTGACTGCGCATTCATGGTTGACAACGAAGCTATTTATGATATCTGCAGACGTAACTTGGATATTGAACGCCCAACCTACACCAACTTGAACAGACTTATTGGACAAATCGTATCATCAATCACTGCTTCTTTGAGATTCGATGGAGCCTTGAACGTTGACTTGACTGAATTCCAAACCAATTTAGTGCCTTACCCACGTATCCATTTCCCCTTGGTCACCTATGCACCAGTCATCAGCGCCGAGAAAGCCTACCACGAACAATTGTCTGTTGCTGAGATCACCAACGCCTGTTTTGAACCAGCTAACCAGATGGTAAAATGCGACCCACGTCACGGTAAATACATGGCCTGTTGCATGTTGTACAGAGGAGACGTCGTCCCCAAGGACGTCAATGCTGCCATCGCAACCATCAAAACAAAACGCACCATCCAATTCGTCGACTGGTGTCCAACTGGTTTCAAAGTAGGCATCAACTACCAACCCCCAACCGTTGTACCAGGTGGAGACTTGGCCAAGGTTCAACGTGCCGTCTGCATGTTGTCCAACACCACTGCCATTGCTGAGGCCTGGGCTCGTCTGGACCACAAATTTGACTTGATGTATGCCAAGCGTGCTTTCGTCCACTGGTACGTTGGTGAGGGTATGGAGGAAGGTGAGTTCTCTGAGGCTCGTGAAGATTTGGCAGCTTTGGAGAAGGATTACGAGGAGGTTGGCATGGACTCTGGAGACGGTGAGGGAGAAGGAGCCGAAGAATATTAAAAGGTCTGATTAAATCATTCCAAGAGATGCAAAGCACTTGAATAAAAAATATTTTTTAAATATAGTTGTTTGATTTCGCTGTTTTTCTTTCAGGATTAAAATTTATCAAAAGTAACCAGTTTAGTATAATTTTCTAGTTTATATTGCGATTTTAAAGTATACTGAGTTGCTGTAGGGTCTTATAATATTAAAAAAAGTTAAAGATAATTTAATTAAACAAGTTTGTCTTATATTTCATTCATACTAATCGACTGGTTTAAAAATTATAGAATTTACATTAAAATGTTGCACTTTGGCAAAAACATAACTATAGTCATTACCATACTTTATTATTCAATGCCAGTTTTAGAGTACACCGAGTTGCTGTAGGTTTTCATATTATTAGACAAAGTTACATAAAAATTAATTTGAAACAAATTTTATATATTTAGCACAAACCGTTTAAAAGTTACAGGAGATATAATAAATTAATGTATTTCCATTTAATAAGCTTACAACACATTTGTTATAGAATTAGTTATTATTTCAAATATTAATTTAAAGTATACCGAGTTGTTGTAAGACTTTATTATATTAGAAAAAGTTTAAGATTATTTAATTTTGTACAAATTTGTCAAATATTTCATTCTTATTAGACAAACTGTTCAAAAGTTACAATAGACATAATAATAAATGCATATAAGACCAAATTTATAATTAACGCGCTTATATACATTGTCTATTTTCTAAAACGATTTTAGGGTATACAAAGTTGCTGTAGGGTTTCATATTATTAGACAGAGCTATATATTAATTAAATTTAAACAAATTTGCCGAATATTTTATATATTTAGGACAAACCGTTTAAAAGTTAAATTAAATTTTCATTTAATGACCTTTCAATTCGCATGTGTTATTGTTGCAAATATTAATTTAAAGTATACCAAGTTGTTGTAGGGCACTATATTGTTAGGCAAAGTTGACAAATTAGGCAAACTTGACAAATATTTTATGAACATTAGTCGTTTTGTTTAAAAGTTACAGAAGAAGAAATGAATAAATGCACTTTCCCAGGCTAAAAAGACTATTTTCAACCGATGTCACTACTGCTTGATATAAGGCTGTCCGAAGCAAACATCGAACCTGAAAGTTCTGATTGAAATCCCATAACTCTAACCACTAATTCCCAAATTCTCCATTAATATAATTATCAAATACTTATAATTATTATTCAAAATGGCAAGTAGATAATTTAATCAATTCTTTACTGATTACCATAAAATGTATAATTATATTAAATTACTTTTACAATTTATTTGAATAAAAGGCTTTTCAGTATTTTCCCATTTCATTCAATTATTAGTAAATTAAAAAATTAATAAAGTGCCTATTATTATTGAAAGTGTTCAATAGAATTTTGATTTCAGTAGTCAAGTGTTTTCTACTGTAAATAATAGAACAATTATAATATTTCTCATATTGAAGATAAATTTTGCCGCGTAATAATTACTTGCTAAAATTGAAAATGATGATATATAAAATTAAAATGAAGTTCTTTAAATCAAAACTCAAATTTATTAAAAATAGTTACACCAAACATTTATTCCATACAAATGCTGCAACAAAAAATCCATTGTTGTTATTTATTATTCATAATTTTTCTAATTTATAAAATCAACTACTACCAATTAAATGCTCTTGAATAGTTTATTTGCCTTATTCTTATCATGATCTTGAAATTTTTAGATAAATAACCACTTCAACTAATCCAACTATAAATATCGACATCAATCGGTAATGGAATCAATCGATAATAATCGAACCAACAAATTCCATCTACAACCAAATTTAATATTAAAATTTGAAATCATTTTTAAAAATGATCGTCAGAAGTGTTTTGGGCCTTTGTGTCCTGGTTGCTCTCCTGGTGTCTGCAAAAGCAGATTTAACAGATGACGTCATGGCCAGGATGCCTGATGACTTCAGGAGGGAGTATTTGTACCAGAAGAAGTTGACAGTTGTAAGTAGACTTTTAACCTATCATTGGTCTTAAAACTAGAAATACTATAGTTGATGATCAACTAAAAGTTGTAGCAGGTAGAATTATGATCATCGTCATATTCTTTATACATTTTTGGGCCGTATTTTTATTAGTTGGGGAAGAAATATTTGTTGATATATAGGGTTTGCCGGTTTTCAAAAACCGGTTTTTTGGCGAAAATTATGGAATTCGAAAACCGTTTTTTTAGTGAAAAAAGTCGGTTTTCACTGTATAAATAGAAAATGACGAATATAGCCAGATATAAAAGATAGATGAAAGCGTTTTGATTCTTGAAATCATATCGGTTCAATAACATTTGATATCTTATTAGTCTGCAATGGTTCCCAGAAAGGTTTTGTATATATTTTTGTATAGATTTTTATACCAGTGTATATATTAATTTAAATCAGTGTGACTTTTCCTTGAAGAAGTAACTTCCTCTACTCAAACTTGAAAAAACGTTTTAAACCCTAGAAGCCTAGAATATTAAAGCCAAGAAAACTTAGAATTATTATATCAGGTTTTAAAAACAATTAAGCATGATTTGGTCGCAAGTATGAAAGTATTTTCTATTTCAGAAAATTTTGTGAGTAAACAAAGGACACAATAGACGTTCTCAGTATTTTGAAATCATATTTTATTAAATAAAAAAACAATTACAATGTTGATCGATTTTAATTAATTAATCAAAATTGCTCGGAACAGACAATACCCGAGTTTAGCTTAATTGTTTTTAAAACTAAAATTGATATTAACAAGTATGTATCAACATGTATCTAATATTTTTTATTTTTTTAATTTAATGAATTTTCTTTTATTTAAAAATGTATTATTTTATTTATTCGAAAACTTTCTTTTATGATGCATGAAATGAAAAAATGATGCATGAATAACGAATAATTACTTTCAAAGTTATTTAATCAAGATAAACTATTATTTTTTAGTTCTACTAATTAAAATTAAAATAATTTTGTTTATTATCAAAATTTAACAATGAATAAATTTAGTCAAATACTGCTCTAAATTACACTAAATTTGCGGATAAATTACAGAATATTCGAGCAAAAATTTATTTTCTACATAAAATTCGAAAACTGGTCAAAACCGCTCTTTTTAGTAAAATTAACATTCGAAAACCGTTTTTTGAAATGTCGGTTTTTGTATAAACCCTTATTGATCAAGTTAATTATCAACTTGATAATCAAAACAAGAAGTCGATGGCAAAATCTAAAACTGACGAACCATTTATTATCATTCCATTACTAAATTCCAAAAAAAAATCCAAAATTTTTCCTCCTATTAGATTTCGGTTACCTTTTCTGTCAAACCCAAAAAAAAACTTAAAGAAGTTTGCCAACCATTTATAATTTTTACCATTTTCTTTTACCCAGGTGGATCTGATTGAGAAAAATGGTTACCCATGTGAAACCCACCAGGTGACAACAGAAGATGGCTACATCCTGACCGTCTACAGAATTCCTCACAACAGAAACAACGATACCATAACCAGGGGAGCAGTCTTTGTAATGCACGGACTTTTCTAGTGCTGCTGACTGGGTTGTCCTTGGGCCACATCAAGGACTACGTAAGAATAAAGAGATAAATTAATTTTATTTATCATTGACTTGGTTTCTACATTATTTTGTTTTCCAGCATATTTGCTTTCCGACCAAGGCTACGATGTTTGGCTAGGAAATGCAAGAGGCAACACACTGTCCAGGAATCACACAACATTGAGTGTGAAGAGTGGTGAATTCTGGAAATTCAGGCAATAACATAACAAATCTAGATGGTAATTGATATATAGTAATCATATTTGTATTACAGTTGGAACGAGATTGGTTATTACGATTTGCCTGCTATGATCGACTACGTTTTGGAGACCACTGGGGAAGAAAAGTTGAGCTACGTTGGACATTCCCAGGTAAATATAAACTTGTGTATGGCATCGTGCCTTAGAGCAAATTGCTGGAACTTAATTGGAAATATTCGAGAAATTTTAAACGTTTTCAAATAATATTATTACAAATACTGTAACTTTAATTATTTTTGCTATCTTGTTATATCTGAGCAAATCAAATGTAAATCATAAATCAATTTATCTCCAGAATATTAACAATCGTCATTTCATTTCGAATTCAATTTCAAAAAACTATTTGCCTAATTTACACAAAATTGAAAAAGTGCTCCCGTATAGTCACAGTCTATACGCATTTGCAAATAATTCTGTGCGACATTTTCATTTATACTGGCGGTATTTTCACATTTTCAATAGTTTTCACAAAATGGGAAAAATGCTTCAGTACAGTGTAAACGCACTTGGGTAAACATTTGTACCAGAATGGCGCTTAGACTGTGCTTAGCCTGGATCATTTTTTGAATTTTTAATCCAAAATTACAAAAATATTTTATGGAAAATAAAAAAAGATGTAATAATTTTTGCTCTCAAAAGCAATTGTTTTGTCAATGCAAGTAGAAAGTTTTTTAGATCATTCAAATCGGACGCTTATTTCAGTCAAAAACTGCCATTTTTTTGCACATTTAGCTCTGTAACTTCGAAATCGCGGGACTTGTCTTTGCCAAAAACTTATCACCTCTTCTCCCAATCATTACAAATTGAATGTTTTTTAGATCATTCAAATCTGATTCTCCGTTCTCTCAAAAACCCGATTTGTATTTTCTGCACTCTTCGCTCCGTATCTCCGTAATGGCTAGACCTGCGTTTGCCAAAAACTAATCTGCACATCTCCCTATCAATAGAAATCGAATGTTTTTTAAATCATTCAAATCGATTGATCCGTGCGCCCGAAAACGCGGACATACAAAACACACACACAAACACACACATACATTTTTTCTGAGGTATGCCAAAATATTCAGAAACCTTCAAAACGTCGATAAATGCAAAAATTTTCATTTTCTATTTTCGGCCCATTACTATAACTACCGTACGGGAAGTTAAAAATAATAACAAAAGCCTTTGCAAGGTAGTGTCAAAGAAAACTTTATCAATAAATACTGAATTTCTATACTTGGAAGT